CAAAAACATATCAGATGTACTATAGTCCATCTTGTCTTCCCAACACTGCAAGCACAATTCTCCCCATATTTACACATTTAAAATGCATCTTTCTGACATAGTACTATTATCCCTCTTCCAGTTTTAAGTCCAGGACCTCAGTGTGATGTCCTCTGATTCTGTAATCTCATCTCAACAGTTTGCAACTCATAGACTAAATTGTGACCTAACCACCATCCCCATACATAATAACAGTATAATAAGATAGGAAAGAAGCTGAGTATGGTGCTTTATGCCTGCAGTCCCAGCACTTTGGGAGGCTGAGGTGAGAGGATTGCTTGAGCTAGGAATTCAAGATCAGCCTGGGCAACATAGCAGGACCCCATCTCTGTACAAAATGATTTAACCGAGCCTGGTGGCATGCTCCTATAGTCCCAGCTACTTGGAAGGCTGAGGTGGGAGGATCACTTGAGTCCAGGAGTTCCAGGCTGCAATGAGCCACTGAACTACACAGCCTGGGTGACAGGGAGACCCCCAACTCAAATATGTGTAATACATAAGAAATAGAAAATTACATAAATATTCATGAGCCAGTGAGGAAGAAAAGAAAATAGAGCAGTACTTTGCAAGTGTCCTTGGCAAGAATTACCTGGACTACTTTTTAAAATACACATTTCAGGACCCCATTACAGACCAACTGAATCAGAATTTTCAGGATAGTGTAAAGGCAGCATCATGTTTTATGTCCCAAGCTTCTCTAATAACACATCACAAATACAGTTCTTAGTTCTGTCACTGGTCTTGAATATGGATGGTTATGACTTAGCACCACTGCCACCTGTTTTCTGTTTTCTTTGTGTTAAACCAGCACCTCTGCTGATTGGATTTATTTATCCAGTGGATGACAGGGGATCTGAGGTGTGGGTGGTCTTGCCTATATATGGTTGTAATAGTCTTATGTGTAACTTTTACTATTCGGCATGGTATTTTTTTAAATAAAATATTAAAACATGGTATTGTGAGGAGGTATTACAAGAGATCCTCTGACTTCTGGTCATTCTCTTCTCTCTACACTCTCTTCTCCATGGTCATCAGGGCCAATCATTCCAGCTAGCACCATCACCACTTTCTCTAACTTTAACTAGGGGAATGAGGTCAAAATGGCCAGGTGGCAAGTCCAGCTAGACACAAAAATTGCTAACACCAACAGAACCTGGACACATAGAGACGGCTGGCAAGAGCATTGAAGGGTCTGAGCTTTTATCCTACTTACAAGATTACAGGCTAGGTTGCTGCAGTTTCATGGATGCTGACAGGATACTCCTGGGTAAAAGATAAAACAGCTTTATGCAGCAAAATAGAAGCCAGAGTTTCAACATATTTACATCAGTTCCTATAGCCCAGTTCCCACACTGATGCAGAGGGCCAGATGATGCCTGTGCACATGGCGGGTTGCATTACAGGAAAAGAATCAGGGTTCAAGAATCGAGCAGTTTTCGAGCAAACAACAAACGAGCTAGTCTTTTTCCCCCAGGGAGCAGCAGTTAAATGGTAGTAATGCTGTGATTGCCTTGACCTACTTAGGTGCCTATATGACTAGCTACAGAAACTGCTCAGTATCAGGAGATGGATAAGACTTGCAGTCTGGTACACTCAGTAATGTATGGGCCTGTTCAGGGGCCATGGCAGCTTGTCTCTTTTCCCCACAATGGAAAGCAAAATATATTTTATATCAGTGTATCAGATGCAATAGTAAGATGTTATCTCCTTTTCTACTCTGATCTCTGTTACTCTGTCAACAAAAGAGATATCACCAAATACTTTAACTCATTTGGAACACATGACAAATCCTTTAGGGCAGTATCCCAAAGTGTATTTTCTCACCCGGTTCCAACACAACCTTCAATAAGGCTGCCCCTCATACCATAAAATCAGTCACTCTTGGATGATGGAATACATAAGACTGAATCCTGCAGTCATTAGTCCCCTGCTTTACATCTTTCACGGCAGAATGAGTTCTTTGGTCCAGAAGCAATGTTGTATAGGATACTGTATTAAATGCATGGAGTAATGGTTAAGGTATTCAGTGAGTCCACAGAGGGAGTGTATAATAAGCATGAATCAGGGAAAGGAATCTAAATGCAGAATAATTATCTGTTCTATAAGAAGAAATTTCTACCTCCTTCATAATAGTAGGATTTCACTGTAATCAGACCTGCCACCCAGGCCACAAAAAAGTGTATCAGGGGATCAAGTTGGTCACTGCAGTTGGCAAATAGTGGTAGTAAACAATCAATCATGACAGAAGAAAGATGATGTTAAAGGTACACGTATGTCTCAATTTTTGCCACCATGGCTACCTTTTTACTGAGTCCACAGCTGTTGGGGGACAGGGAAGGAGGCTGAGTGATGTCCATAGAATGGGTCACTGTTGCAGCCCTTGTGTAATCCCCTTTTGACAGTGGGCTGGACCTAATGATAGGATACAGTAGAAGTGGCGGGATGTCACTCTTGAGATTACAGAAGGTCAGTGCTTCCATCTTCAGTGGTCTTCCTTGCTCTTTGGTTCATTTGTCCTGTGGAAAGCCAGCTGCCATGTTGCAAGATAGCCTTTGGAGAAGCCTACCTAACAAATAACTGAGAAAGTTTCCAGTCCAAAGTCCACAAGGAACCAAATCTTGCCAATAATCATGTGAATGAGCTTGGAAGCAGATCTTCCCTTAGTTGTGCGTTTATATGAGACTGGGACTCTAGCCAACAGCTTGGCTGTAACCTCATTTAAGACCCAGAAACAAGTGTCACTCTGGCTTCTAGATTCCCAGCCCACAAAAACTGTGAGAGAATAACAGTTTATCGTTTTAAGCGAATAAATTTGGGATAATTTGTGAGGCAGCAATAGATAACTAATAATAACCTTGTTCTGATTAAGAGTGCTTCTGCAATGGGAGCCTTTTCTCTTTAACATTCAACAGGACCCAAATGTTTTTATGCTTTGAGGCCACTTTGAGAGGTTCTATTCCAAAGACCTATTCCAAAACTTTTATATTCCCAGTTCCTAGGCATTTGATAAACCAGCCACTGCCTATGAAATGATATCAATTTTTATCTCAAGCCATATCTCTTTTTAGGCAAAGCGTACAAGATAAGCTAAATTCTGGCCAGGTGTGGTAGTCCACATCATCTGTAATCCCAGCACTTTAGGGTGGATCCCTTGAGGCCAGGAGTTCAAAACTAGCCTGGCCAACATAGCAAAACCCCATGTCTAAAAATAGAAAAATCAGCCAGGTGTGTTGGTGTGTGCCTGTCAAAAAAATAAAATAAGCTAAGTTCTGCATGCTGGAAAGATTTTTTTTTCTTCCCTCTGCTGTTCCTTGAGGGCCTCTGTTAGGAGGAGCTCTAAATATGAAAAGCAGTCAGTTGCCAGCTGGGCCAGTTTATTGAGCAAAGCCATCATCCAACTTTGAATTTTTTCCTCAGTCAACTAGTCACAAGGAATTAATCATTAAACTGTGGATTTAAGCTAAAGGTCAAAAGCATGACCTTGGGAGTGTGAGCTCCCTGCAATGAAAACTGTTTCAGTTTTTACTCTGGTTCAGTTCTGTGTATTCCACTTTCTCTTTTTTTTCTTTTCTTTTCTTTTCTTTTTCTTTTCTTTTTTTTTTTTTTTTTTTTCTTTTTTGACACGGAGTCTTGCTCTGTCTCCCAGGCTGGAGTGCAGTGGCATCTGCTCACTGCAATATCTGCCTCCCAGGTTCAAGCAATTTTTCTACCTCAGCCTCCCAAGTAGCACAGGTGCATGAGACCACACCCAGATCATTTTTGTATTTCTACTAGAGATGGGGTTTCACCAAGTTGGCCAGAGTAGTCTCAAACTCCTGACCTCAGGTGATCCACCTGCCTCAGCCTCCAAAAGTGCTGGGATTATAGGAGTGAGCCGCTGTGCCTGGCCCACTTTCTCTTCGTGAAAAGATCTCCTTATCCCGAAGAACCAGATAATTCTTAGTTCATGATGAGAAACTTTGATTCCATAGCCACCTGATGTCACATGGTCAAGACACTACCAAGGCCCAATAGCTAGCCAGAAATTTTTTTTTGAAGAAAAGACGGCCGGGCGCGGTGGCTCAAGCCTGTAATCCCAGCACTTTGGGAGGCCGAGGCGGGTGGATCACGAGGTCAAGAGATCGAGACCGTCCTGGTCAACATGGTGGAACCCCGTCTCCACTAAAAAAAAAAAAAAAAAAAATTATATATATATATATAATTAGCTGGGCATGGTGGCGTGTGCCTGTAATCCCAGCTACTCAGGAGGCTGAGGCAGGAGAATTGCCTGAACCCAGGAGGCGGAGGTTGCGGTGAGCCGAGATCGCGCCATTGCACTCCAGCCTGGGTAACAAGAGCGAAAGTCCGTCTCAGAAAAAAAAGAAAAGACAAAATTCCAGAATTTTGGGGGCCTTCACTGAGATTTTGTAAAGATTTCCACGACTTGCACAAAACATCCAGGTCTGCTACATCCACTCAACACTATTAGAGCTGTTGGAATGTAAGGGTCAAGTGGCAGAGCTCCTTGCACTGGAGGCTGGCCTGGATGGAGAGCCTTCTCTTGCTCTGCACCTCACTGAAAACTGTCGCCTTTCATATCATCTGGTTAGTCGGTCAGAACTGACGAATTAGGAGCTGACTGAACAAAGGTTTAAAACACAAAACAGTGGGAGAACTAGGTAAAAGAAGCATTTTACATGAGTGAGAGAGTAAAAGGTGCTCAATCTTTGTACACTATAAAAGAAATCTTCCACGGGACTTTTCGGCTCAGACTGACAGGCGTGAACGGAATTATTCCCTCATCTAACTTCAGCCACGACTTGCCGTTTTAACACGGAGTTCCAGGTAGCTTGGGACTTTATTGGCGAAAGGGCCGAACCCTGCCGCACTCCTTTTCTGTTGGAGCCTGGGTCCAGAGAGCGGATATCTAAAGCCCGCCACAGGGGCCCCGCCCAGCTCCTCCAGGCCCCGCCCTGCTGTTTGCTCCGCCCCCTACTGCTTTGCGCCTGCGCAGAGCTTGGGGAGTCGGCGCCATGACCCCTTCAAGGCTTCCCGGGTTCCTTTGCCGGGTCTCGGTCACCGCGTGGAGAACCGCAAGTAAGAACCTGGCCCCGGGGCTACGGCCGCGGGCGGGGTCGTGAAGGTCCAGGCGCGGAGAGAGGCGCCTCCCGCGGAGGAATTCGAATGTGTCCCGAACGTTCGATGGCGTCAGGGTCTGTCCAGCTTCTCCCGCCCAGCCGACCACCCAGTGGCCTGGGCAGGTGCCTGCAGCGTCCCGGGCCTCGGGTGGGACTGGAGCGAGAAGATCGCTAAGGCCCTTCCAGCCCGGAGGTCCGCTTCCTGCCGGACACGCGGTGGCCCAGCAGGACCACAAACATTTCGGGTTGTTCCTTTGGGAGCTCGCAGGGCGTACCACACTTTGATGTCCCTGAGAAAAATGCAACAGAAGGCGCTTTGGGAATGGGAGTCATTGATTTACTTACTTATTTACATCCAAAAAAAAAATTATTTACATCATTATTAACAGGAATGAGCGCTCCTGGTCCAGCCTCCAGCAGAAAAGGATTTGTGGCAGTTTACAGTTTTTAAAATGGGAAAAGTGCAAAAGTGAGTCAAAGGCAAATAAGTATAACGTAAATTAGATGAAGCCAGAATTGTTAGTACAGAAAAAGCATACTTTCAGTAAAACCAACATTTTAAAACCCATTCTTGTTGGAAATTTTTCTCAAGATACTACAGGTAGCAGCCCAGACTGTGCTAAACATAATTTTAATTTATGACACATGGAGAAGTTATGTAAGTTGAAAACAATTATTGCCCTCATTGTAAATGGCACTGGATTTCCATGCAATTACTTTTCCTTTGTGCAATCATTTTCCCCAAATACAAACATTTTACTTAATTGTGGTCCAGAAGCGATTAATACAGAAAGTGAAATTCCCACATTATTTAAAACCTCAAGGTAATAACGTTAAAATTTTGTAGGATTCTTTTAACATCCCCCTTTCACTAGTTTTAAACAATTATGAAGTATTTGATACATATATATACATATATATATATACATACATACACACATGTATATGTATATATGTAGCACACAGGTAAGCTATGAATCACAACCAGCGTCTATGAACTCATTCTCCATTTGAGAAATAGTCTCCATTGCCAAGGAGGTCTCTATGTGCTGCTTCCTGATGTAACTGTGCAACTGTGTTTTTAGTCTTCATAGAAGTGGCGTCATATTGTTGACTTCTTTTTTCAGCTAATGCTGTGTTTTGTGATTGATCCACATTGATAGATGAGGTTGTAGTTATTCATTCAATTCAACCGTGTGAACATACGATAACATTTTCCACTGCCCTTGTCAAAGGATGGTTGGGTAGTTCTAGAAACACCAAGATTGGCTGCTATACATTCTTGTGTACCTTACTTGTGCATTAGTAGAAGGAATGGAATTCCTGGAGTATGATGTAGGTCTTTTCAATTTTACAATATGATGCCAAGGTGTAACTGCATCTTCTAAATCTATAGCAATTTTCACCTCTACCAGCAGTATATTAGAGTTCCTGTTGCTCCACAAACTTGCCAAAACGTTGTTTTGTCTTAAGTTTTAATTTTTGGCTACCTAGAGGGTGATGAAATGATATCTCATTGTGATTTTGCGTTTCTGTGATTAAAGAAGTTAAAACATTTTTTCAAATAATAACTTATTGTGAAATATCTTGCTTTTTTTTTGAGACAGAGTTTGACTCTTGATGCCTAGGCTGGAGTGCAATGACGAGATCTCAGCTTACTAAAACCTCTGCCTCCTGAGTTCAAATGATTCTCCTGCCTCAGCCTCTCGAGTAGCTGGGATTACAGGCGCCTGCCGCCATGCCCAGCTAATTTTTTGTATTTTTAATAGAGACAAGGTTTCGCCATGACCTCAGGTGATCTACCCACCTCAGCCTCCCAAAGTGCTGAGATTACAGGCTTGAGCCACTGTGCGTGGACTTTTTTCTTAACAGATTGTTTCTTATTTACATTCTTTACATGTATTTGTTTACTAAACTTTTTTAGTTATGTAAGTGTCAAATATCTCACTTTGTGGTTTGTTTCTGTCAATGCTAGGCAGAATAGAATAATGGGCCTGCATGTGCAATCATGCAGCTTCAATATAAAAGATATCTTTTAAGAAACAGATGTTTGGCCGGGCACTGTGGCTCAAGCCTGTAATCCCAGCACTTTGGGAGGCCGAGGCGGGTGGATCACGAGGTCAGCAGATCGGGACCATCCTGGTCAACATGGTGAAACCCCATCTCTACTAAAAATACAAAAAAATTAGCTGGGCACAGTGGTGCGTGCCTGTAATCCCAGCTACTCGGGAGGCTGAGGCAGGAGAATTGCCTGAACCCAGGAGGCGGAGGTTGCGGTGAGCCGAGATTGCGCCATTGCACTCCAGCCTGGGTAACAAGAGCGAAACTCCGTCTCAAAAAAAAAGAAACAGATGTTTAAAAAAATAGATATTGATAATTTTAATTTTATCTGTAAAATTTTGTCTTGATCCTTTTGTTTATTGCTACTGCTTGTGGTCTTGTCTCAGAAACCCCTCTCTGCCCTAAAGTCATAGACATAGGCCCCTATATTTTCTTCTCAAAGGTTTATAGTTTTGCTTTTCACATTTAAGCCTTTATTCTACCAGGAATGGATTTTTGTACATGGTGTGAGGCAGGAAACCAGTTTCATTTTTTTTTTCATGTCAATCCCTTGTCCCAGGTTCATGCATTTATAGGACCTTTCCCCTACTGATATAATGCCAGCCATCATATATCAAGTTTACTTATATATATATATATATATATATATGCATATGTTTATTTCTTGGCTCTTTTTTCAATTCCATTGCCCTAATTGTCTATTCCTGTGCTGATACTGTCTGTCTTGATAACCATAACCGTAACTTTGTAATAAATCTTATCATTTTCTGACTGTTGCTTATGTATAGAAACATGCTGCTTAATTATTTTGTATCTAAATTACCTTATTAATTTAAATAATTTACTTGCAGATTTTGGGGAGTTTGCTACTTAGACATTCATGTTATCTACAAATAGTGACAGTCTAGTTTCTCCCTGTCTAATCCTTTTTTTTTTTTTTTTGAGGAGTCTTGCTCCGTCACCCAGGCTGTAGTGCAGTGGCGCAATCTTGGCTCACTACAACCTCCGCCTTCCAGGATCAAGTGATTCTCCTCCCTCAGCCTCCCCAGTACCTGGGATTAGAGGTGTGTGCTGCCATGCCTGGCTAATTTTTATATTTTTTGTAGAGATGGGGTTTTGCTGTGTTAGCCAGGCTGATCTCGAACTCCTGGCCTCAAGTGATCCACCCACCTCAGCCTCTCAAAGTGGTGGGATTACAGTCTTGAGCCACCACACCCCCTCAGCCTCCCTGTCTAATCCCTATATCTTTTTCTTTCCTTGCTCAGATTTCCAACACCTTGATGACTAGAAGTGATGACAGCAAGCATATTTATCTTGTTTGTGATTATAAAGGGAATGCATTTGTATTTTTTCATTAAGGTATGAAATTGGAATCATTTAAATAAAACTACATTTTTTTTGAGTCACCATCTCCTAATAACTTTTAAGGCATATTTTATAGATGAATCATCGAGGAAGACTTGTAGCTATCTCCCAAATAACTCTGTTCTTTTAAACAAAAAGAAATTACCTTCTTTTTGTTGTTGTTGTTGGAACTCTTTATTTTGGATTTACATTCGCTTACTGGATTTAATGATCCATAATGGTGGGTCTTCAGTCCAAGCCTTCTACACTCCTTTCCTTTGTGAAATAAAATTTCATGAAAAATGAGGAAAAAAAAGGTGTGATATTAGCTACAGTTATATCCTTTTCCATTTAAGGAAGTCCCTTTCTACGTAGGATTTTGGGATTTTTTTAAAATTTTGTTTACGTATTTGATTTTGTTTTGTTTTGGTTTTTTTTTTGAGATGGAATCTCCTCTGTCACCCAGGCTGGAGTGCAGTGTCATGATCTCAGCTCATTGCAACTTCCACCTCCCGGGTTCAAGCGATTCCTGCCTCAGCCTCCTGAATAGCTGGGATTACAGGTGTTTGCCACCACGCCCAGCTAATTTTTGTATTTTTAATAGAGATGAGGTTTTACCATGTTGGTCAGGCTGGTCTTGAACTCCTGACCTCAAATGATCTGCCCATCTTGGTTTCCCAAAGTGTTGGGATTACAGGCGTGAGCCCTGTGCCCAGCCTTGTATTTGTTTCCTAATGATGAATAAATCTTGAAGTTTACTGAGTTGATTTTTCTCATCTTACTGGGGCATTTATCATTTTCTGCTTTCATCTGTTGGAGTGGTAAGTTACAGATTTTTCAGGTGGTAAATCACTTGCATTCCTAGAAAATATTCCAAAGAATTATGGTGATTATATTTTTTAATATAATGTTGTGTTTGTTGTGCTTATATTTTGTTTAGAAATTGGCCTGTAATTTTCTTCTCTTATATACTGCAACCTCCACCTCCCAGGTTCAAGCGATTCTTCTGCCTCGGCCTCCCGAGTAGCTAGGACTATAGGTGCATACCACCACATCCAGATAATTTTTGTATTTTTAGTAGAGACAGAGTTTCACCATATTGGCCAGCCTGGTCTCAAACTCCTGACCACATAATCCACCCGCCTCGGCCTCCCAAAGTCTGGGATTACAGGTGTGAGCCGCTGCGCCCGGCCTTTCCTGGTTTTAAAATTAAGGTTCTTCTAGCCTCATAAAATACACTGGGGATTCTACTCACCCTTTTCCCTTCTTTCTTAAATTTTGTTTAAGATTATAATTATCTATTCCTTAAGGGTTTGTTACAACTCCCCTGCAAAACTATCTAGACCTGCTCTTCTCTTTGAGGGAAGACTTTAAATGACTTGTTTAATTTCTATATAATTATTATACGTATCAGGTTTCCTCTTCTTAAGTCAGTTTTGGTAAGTTAACTTTTTCTGGGAACGTTTTCGTTTTGTATTGTTTCAATATGTAGGCATAAAGTTTGTGGTATTTTTTTAAATTTCCTGCTCTCCATATAATTATGTACTCTCTTTT